TGCTGAACGTGCTTGGCAGCACAATTGCAATATTTATAAATTCTTTGGGTCTTTGGAAAATATTTTCATTAAATGTTTTGTGTCAAGAACTGTGCATATAAAACAAAGAATGTCAACATTCAGTAGGTAGTAGGAGCCAAAAAAATACAGTAGCTCTTAATTTAACGCCCATTTGTAATTACATATAGGTACAGAGTTTTCTTAAGACTGACACTTTTTTTTCAACTCCTCGCAACAGATTCTGGTGAGATACATGAACTTACCTTCCAGAAAATTCTTTGATGCTTGCGTATGTTGAACATTGAGTCTTCATAATTAAGAATGTGTTCATTAGTATTCTGCAAAATTTAAATGAAAAGCAGTAAGTGAAAGTATCATGTTTCTATTTTGAAAACCTTCCAATGAAATCAGATGTGCTCGGAATACTGGAAGACAGAGTATATTAAATCCTAGCACAAATCCTCTATTTAATAGTGTGTGTGTCTCCCTGTACGTAGGACAATCACGGCTGATACTCACTTTTTGGCACATTCTCTTTGGAGATACAGAGGGGAGTAGCTCTGATGCGATTCCGAAACGCTTACTGGTTTCCCTCTGTCTGTATCTTACCTTCAGAAAAAGGTAATGTGCACAGAGCCAAATTCACTAAATGGCATTTAAATCTGTTCGTGTTCAACATGCCGTTTAGTCTTGTGCACGCACCGGCGCATACAAACCAGTGCTCAGCGCATACTGAAGCAGCCTTTAGGAGCCTTTCTCCACAAAACCTGAGCTCAACCTCATCCAAGTTACACTTAAAACTGCACTATATTTAAGCATTCTCTGCATTGTTTACAGGATTTGGCCTGTTTTGTTCCTTGCTGAGAAAATTGATGATACCAGGGTTTTTAACACTAGATTATAGCCTGCAGTCTAGTCCTTTGAGCGTGTAGGTAGCAAAAATGAATCGCTTTGTTCTGAGTGAGGTGCTCTAAGGTGTAATGTCTACCCGGATTGCATGTTTGCAGAGAGCTGGCTCGGTAAAGAAAAGTCCTATGTTAACATGCAGCCTTCCATGGCTTTGGGCTGAGGCAAGCCAAGGGCACCCCCGTGCTTCTTTTGTCTTATAAGCAAATTGGTTTTATAAAGTTTTTAGCAAGGATTTTGAAGTCACGTCTCTCTGAAATCTTACCTGTCAATCCTCTGTTTCGCTATCCCGTTAAATGGAAGAAGCCTCCTCTTTTCCTGTGGCTGGGTCGCCTCTTGTCTTCATCTTGCCAGGTCTAGGAACAGGGATACATGATACAGTCAAAATACACTCCAGCCTGTGAAACAGCAGTCTGATGATGTCTTACTCCTCCTTCCCTCTCAAACCCCTGCCTTCCTCTTTGAGCAGGAACAAGTGTTAGTGTCTGCACCCTATTTCTGGCCTACAGGCTGCATACAGCCTGGAGAAGTAAGAGAGTTGTAAGCTTAATCTCTCTCTCTTAAATATATTTTGATAACCCACTCTCCCACCCCTTCTTTTAATCTCTCCAGGTTCATTTTTCTTCCATACACCGGAATGCTTTTTTGATGTTTTAGTTCTACAACTTCCTTACAGTATAAAGTATATAAAAATCAGGGCAAAAGTCAGTGAGATTTGGCAGATGCAGCTTTCTGAGAACATAAGTCCCGGTGTCCCAAGGCCAGGCAGAGCTCCTCAGGCAAGTTGATTTCCAGCGGATTTGGCATGTCTGAGGCAAAGCCGTGCTGGAGCAGCCCCTTTCCTTCGCCTGTCCTTAGCAGCCAGGGTAGCAAGTACAAAGTTTTAAGTTACCCCTGAAAACCCAAACCATGGATTAAAACGCAGATGGGTAACGCAGGCAACCTCAGAGGAGGGTTCCTGCGGATTAAAACCAGCAAGTGCTGCTGCCATGGTTTGTATTGCACTACGGTACCGCCTTGGATACAGGCGTCCCTTCAAAATCAGTTACCCTTAATAAAGGCTCCAAACCCATGTTTCTGGGGAAAGCAAAGCCAACATTCAGGCAAAAGAAACGGTGCACTAAGAAATGCACCGTGGCCTCACGCGGGTCTGTGTGTGAGGGTGAGGACAGTGGTCCTGATGTGTGCAGATCTTTAACATAACCAGCTTGGGCCTTGAAACACAAGACTTTTAAGTACTACTGCAGTAGGTGTAACTGCTGAGTGCTCACAGGGCTAGTAAAACCAAAGAAGAAATCAAATTCTTTCTATAACATAAACCCATGAAAGTGTGCAAGTTGACTCCATCTGACGGTGGGTGTATTGCTTAGACACTTCTCTAGGTTGAGTGAACAAGTTCTTAAATAGCTTACTCCCTGTCGTCGGGGGCGGCAGACGGCTGTCGCATGGGGATGCTGGTGTTACCGAGTTCATCAGGTTTAGTAAATCATCAGGTTCACTTCCCAGCGCAGCGGGCCCACGTGCTGTAGCAATGGAAGCGGTACCGTGGGCGAAACTGTTACGGAACGGTACAGGCTGCTCCTCGTGATGGCATTTGCCAGCAGAGAAAAACACAGGAACCATTTTTCCAGGCTGCTGTCCTGGGCTCGGGAGAGCTGCCGGTGGGAGGGAGGCAGCACGCCGTCTCCTCCGCTGGATCTTGCGTTGCAGATCCGCCGAAGGTGGATCTGGCATCTGCTCTCGCCTAACGCCAAGAAAAGTCGTGTGCGTCCTGCTCTGCTGGGAAACCGTATATCAACACGCTCACGCATGTGAAAACACGGCCCCGATCATATTGCCAAGATCAGTATATATCCTAGGGTAATACGCTATGTGACAGTCTCAGAAATTGAAGTTGCCTCTGGGTTCCTTAAATTCATGCATCTAAATTGCACCAACTTTTCTTTAGAAGGAGAAAGAGAAAATACGTATTTGGGCAATACAAATTAACCTCTTTCCTGGGCCAGAACATTTCCCTGTTGTCCACACCTTGGCTCCGCATCCTGTCCCTGCCATGCTTCGCTAAAAGCAGCACTCCCTTCCAGCGAGGGAAAAATCACAGCCGCGATGTCCGTGGAGATCTGGTGGAAGTGTCACTCAGACTCCTAATACATTTTCATCTGCCAAGGAGCTGAGAAATGTTTTCAGCCCCTTCCTGTAAGACTGTTCGTATTACTAATGAATAATGGGCACTTTTTATTACAACTTAAACCCGATGTTGCTTTCTATAAGCAGTAAGAGATAGCATCAATATCACCACAGTCCAGTATTTTACTATATAATGTACTAAGCTGCTCTGCGGAGTGCTTATTTGTTTGATTAATTTTTGTTTTCTACAGAGGTTTGCTGAGAGCGAGACTTTAATCACAGTGCAGTCATTTAAGAATAAGTTATAGAATTATAGCTGAATAATATTCATTCATGAATGCGAGGAGTCGAAAGACTAAATCCATCATGTAGATCTGGCGCTCCTGAATGCTTTTATCACTAAAATTTGCTATGTATTAATCTGATTTTTTTCCCCACATTGCAGGTGCTCGAACGATTATTTCAGAAGGGATTTAACGTGGCAGCTTCATGCGGTGGTGGGGTGGATTCCTCTCAGTTCAGTGAATACGTGCTGTGTCGCGAAGACAGACGACCACAACCTACCCCAACAATCAGAATAAAACAGGAACCCCTGGACTAGACCCTGCCCGTACTCCTTTGTAACCGTAGAAGTGTTTAATAGTCCCTTATGTGAAACACTGAGGATTTGCAAAACAGTATTAGCGAACAGATTTTGACTTCATGTTGCCAATTAGTGGTATTCTGAAACTACCTGTCATGTAGCCAGCCATGAAATGCATTCGAAAAACCAGTTGTCCGTTTTTCACGATGAAATTCCTGAGCATGCTCAGCGTACCAGCCCTGCTGGGAATGTACTTTGGGCTGAACAGCTGTGGTGGTGAAAAAGGCAAAGCTTCATAAACCCCTGACCCTAGACTGGGCTTCTGCAGAAAGACCAATTAAAGCAATTTGAATAGATGAGCAGGAGAAACGATTCCGACAGCCTTTCCTACGATACCCCGATGCTGTGACGCGTGGAAGTGGGCGCCTCCGAGAGGAAGATGGTACACGAAAAACTGCACTGAGTATCTTCCCTGACTGCCGCACCTCCTTCATATCAGACGTGCTTTACACCTCCATACGTTATGTTACACTTCTGTGATTGTACTTACTCATGCAAGCAAATGGCTTATTTTTATACAACATTTCCAACTGAGATCTCTCTCTGTGGACAGAATCCAGAATCCGAAAAGGACCGATTTATAGTCAACTGGTGCTCAGTACTAAAAAACCCCACACAAACGAAACAAAAAAGCGACAAAGAATTTGACAAGGCCGATTATGGCAGTATTTGCAAAAGTAGGGATCTGGAAGCACAAAGTAAAATGCCATCCACCATCACGCAAGGGTCACGGACCGAACGTGGAGCCGTAGTTCTCTTAAAGCCAGTCTTGTTTTGACTCAGAAACATTGTTAAGTTTTGCATTGTCAAAGCAGCATGGTTCTGCCAAGCAAGCTCTGCCACCCCTTGTTACTCATTTACTAACCACGTTGTAAGCCCACATTTTAGGAGGAAACGTTCAGAATTTTGGACAAGCCTACTCTTTATGGGTCTGGAATTTTTGCAAAAACATGTTAAAATCCTCTACTGCCATTGTCCGATGAAAGCAGGCCACCTTTTGTTTAGATTGTTTTTCCTCTATTATTTTAAACTATTATTAAAATACCGATTCTGTAGCTGCCCTCTATCTGTGTAATTTTCTCTTTAACGAAGCCCACTCTGCAGGAGGTTCTTGCTCCTCCATGAATCGGTATCGACTCTGACTTGCAGGGCTTCCTAACTCAGGAGACAGCACCATGTTTGCAGGTGCAAGGTTATAAATAGCATTCTGCTAAATCCTCTTTATTGCTCTTTAGCATGATTGGGTCCTCAATAACTAATTCACGTGTTAATCACAATTTAGTTTCTCCCACATTAATTTATAGAATACTGTTGTAGATGCTGAATTTTAATTAAACTCTTTTTAGATGCATAAATACGGCCACATAGAGCAAGGGACAGAGTATTAAGTGGTCAAGTTATTTAATGCCGAATGATTTACAATTGGACAAAATACAAAAACCATGTTTAAGACCAGTATTTTCAAAAGCGATGAGCTGTACTGACTATCCAAGGTGCAACCTAGGCAGGGGTCTAATTTTTGGAAAAGGGCTGGATACCTGTCCGTGGAAAATCAGACCTCTGCAGGTCTCCTCACCTTGCTTACCCAACTCGGAAATCTCTTCCGGAAATCTTGGCCGATACGTGTTGGCCTGCTAACTTAGCAGAACAGTTGAGCAAACCTGTCTACTTTAAAAGAGTTGTAAAGTTATTTTATTTTGTGGTTTTATACTTGTACGACATTCTAAAGTTGCTAGGCATTGCCATATTTGAATATATGGCACAACATTCACCTTTGTATGTAAGATATCTGTAGAATTGTATATTACACATTTAATATTGTAAAGAACTTAACGTATAATTGTCATGTATTTGTGTATGCACATTTCTTATACAGTACTTCATGCCATAAACATTTCTCTAAAGTAAATGATCAAAAATAAGCAAGTAGGGTGGAACACTCACTGTATCTCCCACGTTGTTTGAAAGAGGCGAGAATTTTTGGTTGTCTCTCCTCCGGCCTTCTGCTCCATTCAGCTTGATGTAGCCACGTCTTACAAAAAGGAAAAAAAAAAAAAAGTGTTTTATTTATTATTTTCATACATTGAGTTCACTTTAAGTTCAAAGTATCCTTAAATAATCCGTTTAGCTTCTTGTTTTCATGTTACGTACGCTTTTGTCCTGCCCTCCCGCACAGGCAGGGTTAGGTGGCCGAGCGCTTGCCTGTCGGCGCATCCTCGCCGTTCGTTACCTCTCAGCCGGGGAGAAAGGCGAACGCCTCGCGCCGCCACC